TGCTGTTGGCGCAATGGAAGTCCTGATATTTGTTTGTTTTTATTGCTTCTCTTGTGTTTAGCTGCCGCGTTGCCGGTGTTAAAGTCCTTGAGTAACAGCTAGTGGGGTCTGACAAAGGCTGGAAGATAAGCGGAGGGGGAGGGCAACTAGGAGGAGGAGCATCACCATTTCGCCGTTTATTTGGCAAGAGTTGTGGGGCATTGTCGGGCATAGTGGGCTTGTCGCTCAGAACCTCATTTGCCCTGATTGGATCACAACTTGTGCAGAGCATGGAGCGGTTATTGCTGATTCATCTGCTACGCAGCATTACGGAACTTTGAGCAGTTGAGTCCAGCAGTTGCTGGGCGCAACCCACGAAAACTCCGAGCACACTGCCTGAATAGTTATATAGGGATAATGGAAAAGAAAATGGAAACTACTATATTATATTATATGATATTATACTATATTTTATTATATTCTATTATCAGCCAGGTCCTGGTAAGCCCAGCAAAGCTGGCAAAGGTGGCAAGGGAGGAAAGGGAGGTGCCTCAGAGTTACAAGCTGCTTTGGGTTTGGGTGGGCTCGGCCGCTGGATGTGTTTTTGCAAGAAGGCAGCTTAAGATTCAGCTTGCTTGAGATGTAGCAGCTTGGTTCCAGCTTTGGGTATAATGGATATCTGGCTTGGAGGTTTCCTGCCAAAGTCATACTGGGAGCCAGTAGGGAATAAGGGAATGGAGTCCCTGTATACTCTAGATAATACATGCTATATTATCTTCTTCCCTATTAACTAAGAATAAGAAGTTGCTTTCTGGAGGATGAGCTACAAACCTGAGAGAAGCTCATTTGATCTCATGAGGAGTTTGCCCTACATGAGACATCCTAAACACACCTAGTACAGCCTCAGCCACACGGGGGTTAAGAAAAATCAAGGGGTGCTTTTTGGGTGGAGTCCCTATAACAAGGATTATAGTATTTGACTCCAAACTGGGGTTCCCCGATTTGTGCAAAAGACCACACTGCCTGAACAGGACCTTGTAAACACGTTGGTGGGAGCTGAGGGGCGCGCACTGATTCTGCCCTTGATGACGTGTACGTAGATGCCAAGCCCCTCCAAGTACCCACTACTCCATCCTAAATGCAACCTTTTCAGCACCCCATGTCCCAAACCATAAACCTAAAAGTACTTGGCAGGGGCAAATCTAGGCAACCTCCATTTCCAATTTGGCTTGAGCCTGGGAGCGGGGGTGACTTACTGGTGGTCAGTAGGGAATGAGGGCATAAATTCTTCATTAATTCCTCATATGATGTATTCCCTTATTCCCTCCTCTAACCCCACTCTATATATATATATATATTACAATGTGGTGGTTGCCATTTCATTTTCCACTCTCCCTATATAGCCTTAAAATAGATTCCTTTACTCCCTACTAACCCCCCAATCCCCCCAATAAGCCCTAAACCCTAAACCCTATATAACCCTAAGATAGATCCCTTACTCCCTACTAACCTCCCAATCCCCCCAATAAGCCCTAAACCCTAAACCCTATATAACCCCAAGATAGATCCCTTACTCCCTACTAACCCCCCCCCTAGTAAGGTGACTGCAAAGCTTGTAGCCGAGGTGCCAGAGGGTCCAAAGCTGTCCTCAAGAAGGGAAAGCTGAAAGCCGAGCCAGGACAGAGGTTTCGGGCGTGGCCCAAGGAACCGGTTTAGGGTTTATAGGATTTAGGGGGTTTAGGGTTTATGGTTTAGGGGGTTTAGGGAGTTAAGGTTTTAAGGTTTAGGGGGTTTAGGGTTTCAAGGAACCATATGCCCAAACAGGTACGTATTATCCCCGCCTTCTTGATGAAAACCTGCATGGCTTGGCAAATGATTTGTTTGGGGAGGGGGTGGGTTTAGCTCCTTGAGTCGGAGCTACTCGAAGACGAAAGTTGAGCCTTGTACTAGTAACAGACAGCAGCTTACAAAGAAGTACAAGTTACAACATGGCTGGATCTTAGCCAAAAGGGACTTTCACCACAGTTTCCGAAACTTCGGGGCTCTTGGAAAAACACTATAATATCCCTATGGTGGAGACCCCCGAAAGGGTAGCCCTAATTTTGGGAAACCCCCATTGGTTCTACCTCCAGGTGTCTCGGCTGTTCATACTGATGTGTTGAATTTCCGTTGGGACCTTAGCGAGTTCATCCATGGCCGGAGCCAGCCAAAACTGCTTCAATTTCCAACTTGCAGCCGCGATCGCTATTTCAAAGGGTCCAAGGACCCAAATAATGGGTTTTCGGGCCCAAGTGTCAAAATATTAATGGTATTTGGGCCCTGAAACCCCATTATCTGGGTCCTTGGACCCTTGGGGTACAGTAGCACAGTCATGCATGCCCTGAGGAAAAGGCGCGGGAAAAGGCTCCGGAAAGGGTGGCAAAGACTCGTGGAGCAAATTGGTGAGGATGGCTTATGTTATGCAGGGCCCGTTGATCAAAGAGCCTGTGGTTTTTGAGCCTGCAGTGCATTCGAAGACCCTGACTTCTAAATCTGCTTGTTGACAACCTATGTATGAGGCTACTCACCCCAGCCAAAACGCTTGCAGAAGGGCTGCGACTCAATGTGGCAGCGCACGCTGCAGCAACTCTTGTTGTTGTCGGCCATCGCAGGCTCTTTTGAGGATTGTGTTAGGTTTTTGTCTGTCTGGTTCGGCAGCAGGATAGGAATCTTCAAAAGGATGCGACGCCAGCGGCAGGATCCTGTACTGTGCCACCATCTGTTGCCGCTAAACATGAAACTGACGGTAGCGCCACACTAAGACTACCTGGTCTTCTTCTGCTTGGTCCACTTGCTAGCCCCAGTCATGGCAGTGCTTTGATCAACCAGCAGTGCCACAGTCGGTGATGCGCGCTTCACGCCCCAAGAAGCTAGCAGTAAGGACAACACCAAGAAAGACGGCGGCAAAGGCAAGGTATTGGAGCTCTGCGTTTTGGGAAGCAGACGGGTCCTGGTAAGTGTGTCGTCCGCGATGTGGGTGAGGGATGCTAAAGACTAGGTACCCCAGTAGTACCCTTTATCCCTTTTGTCTTGGGGTTTCCCTATTAAAGCTGAATATTAGGCAAAAGGGTACCTTTATTATAAGGGGGGTTACTGGGGAACCCAGAAGATCATGGCTCTTCCAGTTGACTTGTTTCTGGATTGCTGCTAAGGAACTTAGATTAAGTTACCATAATGGGTATATATAGTAAATAATAGGGCTTCCCCAATGTAGTAGCCTAATTTAAGTTCCTGAACAGCAACCCAGTTTTTGCGCAACTAACTCTTTGACGATTACACTTAAACGGGCCAGAAATCTGCTCCGCAGCCTAACAATACACGGATTGAGGTTCTGGGGCTTTGATGTGTAGGGTCTGAAGCATTTTTTTGCCTGGGCCGGTAATTGATGGCTTGGGTTGTGGTATACAGTAAATTAGGGACCATGTGCCCCTGTTTAAGGGTACGTCTTGGAAGCTGGCTGGGCTTGTCTTTAGGAGGATGCTAACGCCCCATGACAGCAACAAGTTCCGCCCGGTTTAGGGTTTAGGGTTTAGGGTCTAGGGTTTGATGCAAAAGTTGCCCTTGGGTAACTTGGCCGTAGGCCTCTAGGCCACAAGCCTAACTACCATCTAAAATCTCCTGCCCAGGCGAGCCTGATGTCAGTTTCTTTCACAACACCCCTCTTTTACCCAAAGCCTGCTGGACGCCCAAAACAGGCAACCGACATCCAAAACCAGTAATAACGATAGCAGCAACAACAGCAGCAGCAGCAGCAGCAGCAGCAGCAGCAGCAACAGCAGCAAATCCAGAAGAAGCCACCAGACGCATGGCACCAGCTGGGACACGGATGCAAGTCGTCTCGCATGTTGGCCACTGTGGAAGCTAGGACGCACAACTGATCCCTAAAACCTAAACCTTGGGTACTGCCCCCCCTCAGTAACAGTCGGATAATAGTTATAATATGGTTATATATAGCCCTTAGTAGGACCCCTAATCTAGACTGTTACTGGGTGGGGGCAGTACCCAATCAATCCTAAACCCTAAACCGCTCTGCGGGCAGCCAGTCTAACTTCAGCAGTCACATCCTCGGAGGCAGTCACAACACTGAGCGCGTCAGCAAGTTTTGCTAACTTCTCATGGTAATTCTGAATCAACGTTAGGGACCCTTTCTACTGTAGAGTTTTGTAGTGCTATACAGGGTTTATAGAGGTTCTATAGGGGTATGTACTGGATCCATGATCGGGATCCTCTAGACTTTTTGGGGCAAGGGATTCCTCATAGTTATGTAAAACGGAACTTTTGTCTTCCTAGGGTAATGTGGGCTAAGAATTGTTGCAGGAAAGTACCAGAACTTGTCTTCATCATAGAAGCAATCACAGTCATCAAAATCAAAATCGAGGAAAATTCGTTCCCCTTAATATTAAGCGCCGTCCCAAACTCCAACCCGTATTTAACATTAGGGAGGTTTTAATCGTGGGACCGGAATGTTAGGGGGGTTTATACTCGGATCTTAGCAAAATCTAATTACCATCCAAGAAGATCGATTAAATCAAATAAAAAGCGATGAATCAAGCAAAAAGAATTCCAATGAACATCTTAGCACAATCAATGAAATGCGAATTGACCGGCAATTGAAACCTGATTGAAATCTATCTAAGATTGTTCAAAATCAATACACCAAGTAAAATCAAATCAGAACCTAATTAAGATCTAACTCAAAGCAATTGAAACTCGCAATAAAACCAATCACATTCAGCTTTTATCGATACACTCCTTGATAGAAACCAGCCCTGATAGTTACGGACTCCCAAAACAGGAGGACCCCCAGCTGTTGAACCCCAAACCCCAAACCCTAAAACCCTAAACCCTGCTCCAAATGGTAGTTTCCCAAAATGAGGGGACCCCAATATAGATCCCAAAATACTATAGTCCTTATTATAGGGGCCCCCAAAAAGGTACCCATAATTTTAGGAAACCCCCAAATCCCCAGCAAAGCCCGAGCCATGCGAATTTTTGCGGCCCCTGCTGGGCGGATTCGATGCAGGCCCACGCTTTCCCGAGGTGGCTTGGATGCCAGTACGGAAAACCCAAGTTATAACCAAGTAAGACATGAGCTATAGTCTGAACTCCTTAAAGGGTGGTTATATGGGGGATTTAGGCGAGCATTATAGGGATTACTAAGGGGGATACTCGGAGTTTAGACTATAGCTCATGTATCCTGCAGACGTTTGTGACGGCCATTATCGATGCAGAATGTACTGCCATGGGGTCAGGGTTTTAGAAAAAGCTCATGACATATATCCATCCTACTCTTTATTGATAACATGGGTCATGATGTAGCTACCTAGCCTGGATGTGTTGAGGGAAGGCAGACAGAGGGCTTCAGAGAGAGCTGAAAGGTGAAGGTCTCAGAAAGCCTCAGAGTTCTACATGCGCTTTGAGTTCCATCCATGTTTTAAGCGCTCTTCGGCAGGGCTTGGGATGTAGCATCCTGTGTTTTTACCGGGTCTTGATCACATGGAAGTTCTGGAAAAAGATCAGGGTCGAATCTTAACGGGGCGCACCAGCATTCCTTTGCAGCCCCTTGCTATCCCCTTGGGTACCCTAACTACTTTGCGAAAGCCCCAAATCCTCAAACTATAGAAGCTAGCACGCCAAGTATATTATAGCATATTGTAGAATATTATACTGTACGTTAGTATATGATAGTATAGATTGCAAGGCTTCCTCGGGGCTCTGGGCGGCAAGCCGGCAGAAGAGAACCCCAGGCATGGGATGGGCGAGAGTCTAAACAGCTGGAAGGAATGTGCAGCTTGAAGAAGTTCTAGTTTCGGCCTTTGCTAGGGCTCTTACTAGAAGAGCGGTGATAACATGATTTTGGCGGATATCTAGAGATCTCGGTGCTGTTTAGGCTTCTTTTTTGTTGTAACCTTCGCATTGGCTGTCAATGTCAGTGTTGGTTGTTTGACAATGCTTTGCTTATCTTTCATGTCATGGCCCTCCTTTTCGCCTGCGACAGCGCGCTTGAGCGCTGTGACGTTCAAGGATTTTGATCTGCTGCTTCCTCGAAGAATGTGGTGCTTGCCTTGATCTCTTCAGGTGAGCGTATACGCACAATCTCTACAGAGTATGACTTGCAAAAAAACACTGGCTCCATGCGGCTCCATTCATTTAAAGCGATGGGAGAGGATGCAGTGCAGACATGTGTGGTGGGTATGATGGTCATAGTGAGGGGGGGATGTTGACCATGGCTGTGACAATGCAACCTCAAATTCTCTAACCCCAGTAGTCATACCACCAGCAGAACAGCACTGTGGTGCCAAAGCCATGAGTCCTGAAACAAACACAAGGCCTGCAGCCGGAAACCCCAACTCGATACCCAAAGCAATGAGCCTGAAGGCCTAGCATCCTCAAAAGGCTACACTTAGTTGCTACTTATGAAAAACATTAGGGTTATATTGGGGTAATATTGGGGTTATAATGGGGTTATATAGGGATAATGGAAAAGAAAATGGAAACTACTATACTCAAAAGGCTACACTTAGAAGACGTGTCCTCGGGCAGGCTAGCCGAAGCTCTTGAAGCGGTGAAACGAGGCTGAGATGTTTCGGGGCAATATTGGGGCTCTATATATATATATATATATGTATGGGGATAATACCCCAACAATGGAGAATCAAATGGAAAAGAACATGGAAAATGACATGGAAACTGGTGTAATATACCTTAAGCCCTAATATACCATAGTAGTTCCCATTTTCTTTTCCCTTATCCCCTATATAAACCCTATAGAAGCCCGTATACCAGTATATAACCCTATAGAACCCCAATATAACCACTATTGGATTGCCGGCTTTGGGGCTTCTAAGGTTTAGTTTAGGCTTCAGGTTTAGAGCCTAGGCTTCTTGGCTTAGGGAGGGCCTCAAGTGGGCTGAGTTTCATGCTTTAAGCATGTGGTCTGAGGTTTGGGGCCTAGTATCATGGGCTGGTTTCGGGGGGAAGGGGCTTTCATTCATGCTTAAGATTTGCAGATTTAGGGCGTGAGATGGCTGGGGGGTCTACTGTTTTGGGTGTAAGGTTTCAGTCCCGAGTTACTGTGGCCGTCAGAGCCCGCCAACGCCCTGCTGCTATTTCCGGCTTAGGGTTTAGGGTGAGTTGGAGTAGGGCGGTTGCCTTGTCTTTAAGGATTTTCCTTGCTCCTCCCGGAAGAGCCCAAGTCCTCTTCATGAAGGAGCACGCCTCAAGCCCATCAAAAACTCCAGTGACCCGTAAGATACATTCCCTAATTATATGCTCGATGGTTACAGCCTAGGCCTCACACCCCAAAACCTCATGCCCTACGCCCGAAACACCTACTGCTAACCCCTCAACCCAAAATCCCCAGATCCTCAACTTCAGGCCTAAAAACCGCAAAAGCCCTGAATCCCTAAACCCTGAACACCAAACCCCAAACCTTTGATTAATTCCCTTGACCCCCTAACCCCCAAATCCTAGACCCTCAAAGCGTGAACCCTAAAACCCCCGTCCACCTCACCGGGGCTGCTGTTAAAGAACTCATATTAAGCTACTATTCCAAGGAAACCCCATTATTTACTATGCACCCCATATTGTAGTAACTTAGACCCTCAACCCTAAATCCCTGCACCGTAAACCCCTAAATCCCTAATCCCTTAATCCCTAAACCGCTAAACCCTAAACAGCAGGCCGCATCGACAAGGCCTTGGGCCTTACCAAAGACCTTTGCCGAGACGGTGAGGCCAAGCTCTTCGCGTAGATTTCGGGCTTGGGGTTTAGGCTTTATGGGTTTAGGGGTTTGGGGGTTTAGGCTTTAGAGTTTTAGGTGTAGGGCTTAGGCTGTGGGGTTTAGGGTTTAGCCTTGGGAGTTTTAGGTGTGGGGTTTAGGGTTTAGGACTTAGGTTTTTAGAGTTTTAGGTGTAGGGCTCGGAATTCAGGGTTTAGGATTTACAGGGCTAAAGGTGAAGGGTATACGCATTCAGGGTTTAGGATTTAGGGTTTAGAGCTGTAGCAAGACGTATGAGGATTCAGTGTGGGAGAAAACTTTTCGAATGTTCGGGTTTCAGGTTCTGGGCTTAGGGGTTGGAGTTCAGGGCTGAGTGTAAGGGATTGGGCGTGGATGCTGAGGCATATAGCGTATCCAGCGTGAACAGCAGAAGGTGATCCCGCCATGAACTGGGAGGGCTTCAAAAGAAAATAGGGGCCCAATTTGTGGCTCCACACATTTGATTAGGACTTCAGGTTAAAGGGGGACGTGGCACATGCGAAGGCTGCCAATCCCTAGAAATCCTCAGCTTTGTCCTGTCACAGAGTCACGACTGCTGTGTCCTGCCTTATCCTGCTTCAGCAGGCTCCAGCGTTGCAGTTACACATGTGTTGTAATTACCCTGAATCTTTGAATCCCTAAACCTTTAAACGTTTACCCTAGACGGTAACCCTAAACTCCGAACCCTAAACCCTAAAGCGAGCGACAATGGTGATGATGACGGGGTGGAGCATTGCAGTGTGGAGGTGCAAGCCGACTGAGGGAAGAGCCCCGTGCCTGTACTTGACAGATGTAAACAAACCCTAAACCCTAAACCCTAAGCCAAGCATGGAAGGAGCCGAGTCGGCTGTTGGCCAGTGCCTGCTCTGATAGCGCGGCGGCAGCACGGCAGTGAAAAACAATTAGGGTTTAGGTTTTAGGGATTCAGGGTAAGTATAACCGAAGGGAGCGTAAGCGTAAGGGCTTATGCAAGGATGTATAGGGATATGTTGGGATCTAAGGGTCCAAGGGGCTAAATGGGATGTGACTTCGGCTCAAGTAGGTTGCTATATCGAGATTTTGGGCCAATAACTGAGTATTTTTTCGTGCGTTTAAACCCTTAGGGTAAGCGAAGTAGTATAAGATTCAGGATTTGGAGTTTGGAGCTGACAGTGTAGGGTTCAGAGTTCCTGCAGGGGCCCTGCAGCTAGGTAGTTTCCAAGAGTCCTCACTGGCAAACTTTCATGCCGGCACTAGCCGTTGGAACTCCAAATCCTTGACCTACACACATCAAATGTCCAAAAAGCAGCAAAGTCCTGCAAAGCTGCGGACTGCATCTCATAGAAAGCGCGCCTGAAAAGCGCTGAAGCGTGATGACAGCAACATGACTGGACTACAGCTTTGAGTCCTATTGTATCTCATAAGCCATCGTTACTCAAGAATGGCCCAGTTCCCAGCACAAGGATCCAAAAGGACCCACCATTCCAGAAAGACATGGAAATAGAAAAAAATCAACCCCACCCTCAACCCGGGATCCTCAACCTCAACATGGTAGTAGCAGTATTCTAGGCAATCAATACATGAGTAGAACCACTAGTACTCCCAAAGGGTCCATGTAGGAATATAGTATATACTCAGGGCTCAACGGGTTTCCCATCTACCTGCTCTGGCGCCCAAGTATTTACTATACAGCTACATGGGCTATAGTTCAAACGCCTTAAAGGGGTTATGCAAAGGAGTATATAGGGGAGTTCTAGAGTAGTTTTTTAAGGAGATACTAGGAGTTTATTAGACTATAGCTACACGGACCCTAAACCCTAAACCTTAAATCAAAACCCTAAATCCAAAGCCCTAAACCCTGAACCCTAAACCGTAAGCCGTAAACCCTAAGCCCAATCCAGGCCGCCTACGCCGCGGATCGCGAAGCCCGGGACATGGCCGTGGGCCTGGCGGTGGCTGGAACTACCTTTGAGATCCCCGGCACCTGGTCCAAAATTACGGGCTCCTTTAAAGGGATGATAGGGGTTATGTGGGGATATATACGGTTTACGGTTTCCCAGTTTTTCACGTGCTTTTTGGGGAGTCTCCTCTGAAGGGATGATAGGGGTTATATGGGGATATATCAGGTTTAGGGTTTCCCCAAATGTGGGGTAGCTTTTTGGGAGCCCATGATGAGGATTACAGTATTTTGGATCTATATTCGTCTACGTTGGGGTCCCCTCTATTTGGGAAATCAGCATGTGTAGGATCCAAATTGAGGTTCCACTTTGTTGATTGGGGGGTTATAGGTATTTGGTTCATGGTTTAAGCTTGGAATCTTGGATTTTTGTGTTTAGGTTTTTAGCGGTTAAGAGGTCTTAGGGTTTACGCTAGTTTGGATTAACAGAGCCTCCTGCACTTCCCTGCTACCCCTTCCCCCCTTACCCCCCTGGGATCAGCCTTACTGGGGTTATTGAGGTACCACAGGGCCCTGCAATCCAAAATGCCACGCGCCCGACTCAACTGTCCACTGGCATGAGACTTTCCGAGTTTCGGGGCCCCTTCTTATAGTAGACGAACCCCGGAAAGTGATCCCTCATACAAGCAAGAGACCCTAAACCCCACACCCTAAACCCAAAACCCCAAAACCCCCGCATAAGCTCATGCCCACAATGATCTTCAAGGCAAGAGCCAAATTATACTGTGTTTGAGCTACATAAGTTCGGTTGGGGCCCCAACCCGCTAGTAGTAACCACGTGCTGTAATTGGAATTATCTACAGATCCTTAAGTCATTTCTGCAGTGCCCTGAACCCTATATATAACCCCAATTATAGTAGTTTTCAGTTGCTTTTCTGTTATTCCTGAAATTTCTCATCCAGAACTGGTCGGCCCGCAGCTGTCTACAGTGCCCAGCTTCGTCGCCCATCTCATCATCGAACCCCAAACCTGAGTCTCCAGATGGGGGGTTTCCTAAAATTGGGGGGTACCTTTTTGGGGGGTCCCCATAATAAGGATTATAGTGTTTTGGGGTCTATATTGGGGTCCCTATATTTCTGAGAATTACGAAGCACTGAAAGCTAGACTTAGGACCAGCAAGCTCAGTAATTACGGTGATGAAAGAGTCTGGCGTTCCCAGTAGAGGATTCTACTTGCTTTATGCGAGTTGGTCTAGGTTTGTACCTAGACCCTTAAACCCTACCCCTTTTTTAGGGTACTTAATTTTGTATATGAAGTTAGGTACTCCGAAAAAGGGGTGGGGTTTAAGGGTCTAGGTAGTCCCAACACTCCATTGTGACCATTTCGGGTTTGCACATGGGGAGCTTTTAGGCCTGCACTGTCCTTATCGTTCTTCATAAGGATACCACAGTATGTGGGGTTAAATAAGGGTTATATGGAGATATTGGAAAGTAAAATAGAAACTGCCCAGACCCTAAGCCCATCATAGGGTTATAGTCCACCTTAAGTAGATAGCTTAAGTAGATAGAATTTGGCTCTGTGTATACTATACTAAGCTCCCCATAGACCCATATTCTATCTACATAAGGGGGACTATACCGCAACTTCTGCCACTGGGACACATGATCTCCACATATTCCCAGCAGACCTCTATAGCTTGCACAAGGGCAATCCTTTTCAGAGAAACTCCCGCATTTGGAAATGCACGGATCACCAGGCCGAGACGTGACGTTGATCCGCCCCAAACAGCTCATCGAAGGCACGACAGAGCCAATGATAAGCAGCACGTAGCTGAGGGGTTGGGGTCGGCGGTTGAGATTGAGGACAGATGCCTTCCTTCCTCTTAGAGGGATCCGACCACAAGAAACCTCAAGCAAGTCAAAATTTGCATCCACGTGTAGTGACTAGTGGGCTTTCAGATTCTGGTTCTGAGCTCCTTCGTTGCGTGGGATTGAAGGCTCACAGGGAGTCCGGTTTCTTTTGATGTTCGGTTACATGCACGCTTAGGCTGCCATGTGTATGGATTCGGATTGCAATTTCGGAGCTGTGTGTACTGGCTTTTCGCAACAAAGATTGGAAGCTTACTTTTCAACTTCGGGCCCATCGTTTCGAGAGTCCTGGATGCTATTCGGGACGATTACTTGGTGTTAAGGTCTAGACTTCAATCCCCAGGCCCCAATCCTAAACCGGAGAGGCCGATCCCCAACTAGACAGCCGCAGCTTTGGACATACCAACTCCTTACTGGTTCTTAGGGTGAGTGGGGAGTGGATCCCTGTAATAGTCCCTATATAGCCCCCGTATATACGCCCCACCCCAACTTTAAGCACCAGTAAGATTCCTGCAGGTTTCTGGCTGCGAAAGATCAGCGACCAGCACGAGGCTGCAGAGAGCCGCCCAGCCGGCAATTTTGCGGTCCAGTTAAGGGCTCGGCGTATATAGGGTATGGGCATAGGGTTTATATAACAGGGATGTGGATCAGGGATTTCTCTGTTGCTGGACGGGGATTTCAGAACAGAGCCGAGTCGCCCTGCCCCTTTTAACCCCTGAACCCTGTCACAAGGAAGGTCTCCTTAGGGTTTAGGGTTTAGGGGTTGCACGGCAAAACTCCTCGCGTGAGCCAAGATCTGCAATGTCAACAGCAAGGTCCCGCGTCGCGTCATCATAAAAATCGGTGAAGACTTTACGAACAAGGACTTTGGATTTCTGCTTACAGGGATCCCTTCATTTCTGCTTGTAGGGGATTGTATACGGGAGCTTTATAAAGGTTATTAAGGGGGATAATAGGAGTTTAGACGATGTCTCATATGGTTAGTATCAACGATAGTAATGCAAAAGTGGGTTTTCAGGTCTATTTTAAGGGCTGGTACAGACGCCACTATAGGCGTAAATTCCAAGGCCTAAACCCCGACCAAGAAACCACTGCTCATTTCATTATCCATTTTCTTTTCCATTTGGTTCTCCACTATTGGGGTAAGACATCCCTACATAGATAACTCAATATCCCTATGCAACCCTAGTTTCCATTTCTTGTTTAATTTTCTTTTCCTCTTGATCCCCCATTACTTACTGTAGCGATCAATTTCTCCATCCCCTAACCCAGAACCCTAAACCCTATAAACCCTATACACCCTAAACCTTAAACTAAACCCTATAAGCCCTAGACCCAAAACACTAGCCGCTAGCCGCCACTGCGTTTCGGATCGTAGCCTAGGTCTCCAACGCCTGGCCAAAGCTGCCGTGGCACTGCTTCCAGCCTATAGCTTAGGGTTTAGGATTTAGGGTTTAGGGGCTGGGGTGTAGGGTTTATACGGTTTATACGGTTTATGGGGTTTATAGGCTTTGTAGGGCTTATAGGGTTTAGGGTTTATAGGGTTTTCAGTGTTTATAGGATTTATAGGGTTTATGTGGTTTACAGGGTTTTAGGATTTAGTAGGGGATGTTCTAACAGAAGAGGGCCTTGCGATGGGAATTCTATAGGGGCTTCAACGGGTCTACAGGGATTACCTGGACAAAACTCCCAGCAGGCCCGGAGAAGAACATGCTTCAACTGCGGCAGAAGGGTACGAGCAGAATCCGGCATGTAAGAACTTCAAGTGCTGCTGCAGCGTTCTAGTTTAAAGCGCGCAACGTGGTCTTGGGGCTCTTTGACAAGCCGGGCCAGTGAGTTGAATCCTCGTAGTGGGTGGGCTGGATTCCAGCCCCACCTTTTTAGCAAGATACTTGCAGGCTGCATCCCCACAGCGCCATGTTTCTCGGATGTGTCAAGTTTGAGAGAGGAAACTGGCCATGATTTCTAACAACCGCCCGTGAAAGTTTGCGTGTGCTTTCAGTAGGCTCCCCACACACTGGGATCCGAAACGCACTGTGGACCCCCTCACATCAACTGACTACTTGTTTAGGGATTCGACTGCAGTGCTAAGAACTCCATCGCGCCTCAGCCCCCTTGCTCTTTCTGCATTGCACCAAAGGAAAGGGCTGGATGACGAGATGGCAATTCGTCGACTGGACGAGGTGCACCAGGAAGGAAGCCAGCAGGAACAACACAGATGGTGCGGTTTAGGTCTGTTGTCTAATTCTGAGAATGCCTGTGTCGCCGAAACTCGAATAACTCAAGCCTTTAGGCTCAGCACATCCCGCCCCTAACCCCAAAGCCCTGACGCCTGAAGAGCCCCTCTCAGGGACAAGTGACACAGAGGTGGCCAGGTCCCTCCAACTCCAGAGTTAAACGCCGAGTCAGCTCGCACAAGAGAAACTTACAGCCCCAAATCGCTTGTAGAATCCCAAATAGGGCCCGCCCCGTCCTGATTCCCTTAGAACACCCTTGTTTTTTCAGGGTCCCCAGGAGTCACATAACCCTAATCCCTGTCGTTTCTTATCCCTATATTAATCCCTATAATCCCTGTAGTTTCCATTTTCTGTTCCATTCTCCCTATATCAATTACCCTATATTTTTCCGGGTACCCAGTAATCATATACTTACCCAAAACCTGTACTATGATTACTATTACCCAAAAGCCAGGTACCTAATCATTGGGTACATGGACCCTTTGGGTCATTTTTCCGGGTCCCCAAGGGTCATATAACCCTATATAATCCCTATAATCCCTGTAGTTTCCATTTTCTTTTCCATTATCCCTATATTGATTACCCTATATTTTTCAGGGTCTCCAAGCCTAAGCCCTAAACCCTAAACCCTAAATCTAGCAAGCCTTTTGTTGGGTTTGAGCCGGGATGGCATTGACGGACAGCGGGGGGACCATTGGCCCTGAGCTGCTACCCCAGCTGCTAAGTCGCTTGGCTTGCAGGCAGTCATACCACTATGGGCTATTAGACCTTTAGGGTACCCTAATCTACCCTTAATAGGGTCCTAATAGGGAATTTTAGGGTCTAATAGCCCATGGTGGTAGACAGTTCAGGGCTTTCAGGGGAATAGGGCTTCAGAGTTTAGAGTGTAAAGGCTTAGGCCCTACTTAAAGACAGGCATTAGAGTATATTTTGGTATCAAAAAGAGGTCAGAGGAATCGCGCTCGAGGTTAATTTTGCAGTTAATTTGAGGAAGCCCTAAGAGCAGTCTTTTTGTGAGGGATGCGATGCTCACCCAATGCACGCAGTTAACTTATGTTTTCCTCTTGGAGAAGACTAGCATGTTACTTGCTTCAACAGCCACACGAAACCCACACCCCAGCTGTCTTGACGACTATTGTACTTGTCCTGAGGATCCCTATACCGAAATCGGGGAAACACCTACGCGCGGGCAATGTAGCGCATGAAGCACAGGCACAGGATGGAAAGCATCTGGTCACGTAGTTCTATGAAATGAGTGCATTGGAGCTTGCCCTTTGGATTGCCCAAGCCAGTGTGCAAGAAAGTGGGAAGCAAATTGCCCCCAGTTCCTTCGCCACTAGCATCAGTGAGTTTGGGCAAACGCAAGCTGAGCGCTTCTTAATTACGCCGGACACGGTCCGCACACTTCAGAAGGAGCGTGGTTTGACTCAGCACCAACCGGGCTCAAGTTTCTGGACAGCAGGATGCTAGAGCGAAACACAACTTATGAGGCGTATCCGCCGCCTGTCTCTTCATGCTGTTCCCTTCAACTTGACATAACACAAAAGGGTCCTTGGTTGTTCAGAAATCCCGGGCTACCGGCGCAACTGGCAATTCCATAGCCATCCAGGCCTCCGTGGTGGTCTTTAGGGTCCTCAGGGGCCCCAGTACCCAAACAGCATGCGAAGCATTTCGACCCTGAAGCATCCACAGTGGCCTTCCTTGGGCCTAAATTACACGGTCTAGGCCTCAAACTTAAACCCTTGATCCTTGTCAGCGCAATTTGTGTATTACGTTTTCTAGGTACTTGGACATTTGAGGGTTTGTAACCCTAAACCCCAAATCCTAAACCCTGAAACCCTAAACCCTAAATCCTAACCCCTGAAAACCCTAAACCCCAAGTCCTAAACCCTAATCCCTAAACCCAAGACTCTTGGGGGGGTTGTGAGGTTTGGCACAGTCGGCATCCCAGCAGCTCCTTCGTCGCGAGGAGGAGGAGGAGATGTTGACATTAATTGAGGTATAGTCTAAACTCCTTAAAGGGGGTTATATAGGGGATTTTTTCGGGGACTACTATAGGGTTTATTAAGGGGGATACTAGGAGTTTAGACTATAGCTCAATTCAACTTGGGGAGCTGCCAGTGGTAGAGATTCACAGGCACTATGAGGGGATTCTGGGGGTGGGAATCCCCTCCCCCTAATATTTAAACCTCCCCAACCCCCTAATATTAAATGCTCCCAAATAGTATAGTATACCACAACACGGGAGTATTTAATATTGGGGGGAGGGGTCAATATGGGTACTTGTTTAGGATTATGTAACCCTAAACCCTAAATTTGGGACTATGTCAAAGGAAATGCCCATATCTTCTCGCTGATCAACGTTGTTGGACAATGATTGGTGCTATTTTCTTATAAGAATTCCTATTATTACTAGTATAGCTACTAATATTATTATGAGTACTACTACTATTCTTGCTGTCATTTCCCTTATTAATACTATTATTCCTCATTATTTTGATTATCATCATTATCTACTTCTATACGGTTGCCGTTGCTACTCTTATTACTCTTATACTTGTTATGGTTATTGATATGTTACTATTGTCATTATACTCCCAGACCCCCTAAAGGATCCAAAACATGGAACCCCCTACTAATCCCCTAGTTTTCCCAATGTATTACTGGGTTCATAAACCCTAAAACCCTAAACCCTAAATCCTAAAACCCTAAACACAAAAACCCTAAACCCTAAAACCCTAAACCGCGTTTTTGGGATCCTTTAGGGGGTCTGGGCTTGTGTTGGGTCCAACCTCCAGGCCTCCAGCTTTGCGCTCCGAGTTGAGTTGTTTTTGGGCTTTTTTGGGGGTTTAGGGTTTAGGGTTAGGGTTTAGGGTTTAGGCTATCGTCGGGAGTTGGGCAGGGCTGATTAAACCCTTAACCCTAACCCCTGAAGTACGGTAATAGAAGCAATCTGAGCCCAAACAGGATGGTCTTACTGCGACCACTGCGACTTTGGCGGGACCTGCTGCGAGCTCAGCATTCATGGATGCATGATGCGGTTCAGGGTTAAGGGCTACCCTCTAAACCCCTTAAAGGGGCGTAATATGGGGATTATATAGGGGGGAGTATTATAGGGGTTATTAAGGGGGATTCTAGGAGTCTAGATTATGGCTCATATGAGGGGTTTCCATAAAAGGGCCCTGGAATAGAAACTAATACACTATAATCCCCAGTATAATTTGGGGGGCCACCAAATATCGAAAATCCCCAAATCAGGTTTGGTCTCCTTGTCAGGCTTTCCTGGCATATTGGATTGGGCACGTCGAGCGTCGTAGTGATTATGACCTATCGCCCCCCCCACCCTGAAATAGTGCTATAAGAGGAATATAATAGGACCCTACTATAATCCTCGTTATCCCTTAGAGCCACTATTACAGGGTGGGGGGTCCACCTGAGTTATCACATTTAACAGAATTGGCAAAGCTCAGGGGCTGTCGTTATTGCGGTGGCTTGTTCAGGTTTTCTTGCAGCAAAGCAAATGAGGCCTTTGTTTAGGGTATAGGGTCTAGGGTATAGGGTTTAGGCTTTGGGGTTTGGGGTATCTAGGGCTTAGGGTATAATTTTTAGGGTATAGGGGTTAGGGTTTAGGGTTAGGGAGCGCTGCGCCCCGCCAAGAAGCCGATTGAGATCCACGACAGCGTCCGGAACTCAAAGGGCGCGGTATGTCGGCACGGCAGACAGCTTCGTTCACTTTGCTCTTGCTTGCAGGAGTCAGAAAAGTTTTTTTTTGGTGGGGCGCAGATACGCCCGGGCTGGACCGAAAGAGAGATTGGCAGCGCAGGCCGGGTGGGAGAGAGAAAACCTGGGGCCGCATCGGTGGCGTCGCGTTCGCGCTTGCTATTTTGTCCTGTCCTCACACGTCCGCTTGCCAGGCCCAAGTAGAGCAGGAGGAGGATGAGGCAGTGGAGGAGGAAGGAAAGAGGGCCAAGAAGAACAAGCGCAAAGCCAAGGCGGGGTTGGCGCAGGGCAGAAATGGCAGCAGGCCAACATGTCCCTTCGCGCCCGAGGCACGCAAAGAGCAGGATAGCCTGACTTGGATTTATAAGAACGGCCGCCTGCATCTCGTGCCACAGGCAGGATGTTTGCAGTGTTCCGTGTAGAGCTTTCCTTTCTCTGCACACACGACTGATGACCAGGAGCCGGCGAAGAAAGCCGGCAAGAAGAAGTCCAGCCCGGGCAAAGGGAAGCCACTGCGTGGAGCTCCTTGGCTTGCATAGTTGCGTACGCAGCGATGCCATGTCAAGCATTGGCACCATGACGTCGCAGCTCAGGTGCGAAAGAGCCTCCACAAGCGGCGAATTTGCCGCAAGGGCCGTGGCAAGAAGGCCAAGTCGGTGGCTTCCCTGCTGAAGGCACCGGTGGCGGAGAAGATTTTGGGGTTGGAAGGTTTCATGGAGCCCTTGGGGTCATCATCCTGTGGCCCAGATTTTTGCTGGGCATACGCAAAATCATCCCTGTCTGATGACCCTGTCGCACCAGTACTCACCTGTAGGCCTACAAGGACCTGGCCCAGGATTGCAGACTAATTTCTTTCAGCAGAACCCACTAGAATACCCTAAGGGTCCAAGGACCCAAAGAATAAGGTTTTAGGGGGCAAATACTAGGCAATTACTGGCATTTGGGCCCTAAAACCCTATTAGTCGGGTCCTTGAACCCTTAGGAATACAACAAGGCAACAACGCGATGTTGGCCTATGAGCATTCATCCCTAGGACCCGAAAACCACCCCATCCAGAACTCAGTCTATGGTCATCGCATGTGCTCGCATTATAGGGCTATAGAGTTATAGGGTCGAGGGCTGACGGTTTTTGAAGGGCTTAGGGGTGTGGATACTTACTGACTCGTGTCTAGTAGGCAGGGGAGTAGTGGATTCCTACAGTAGTTTCCATATGAACTCGCACAACT